AAAAAAAAAAGAGATTGCCCAAGTTTCCATAGCTTTTCGAGCCTAAATACCAAACTTCAGAAGATAAAGCTCATCTTCAAGAGGCATGGAATGATGGAAGATAAAGTGTTAACACTCCAACAACGTGGCAACTGACTCATAGCTAAGCAGAATTTGAAGATGGTAAAATAATATTATTATCTGTGTAAAGTCCATTGTACATCATGTATGGAGTTTGTACAAATTTCTCATGACAAGAAAACAACTTGCACCATTTTACTTTCGGAATAAGCAAATATAAACATTAAACATAGGAAAAAATTAAATATAACCATCAACCTCGCAACATAAAAATCTCTAATTACCTTGTGCACCCTTCAGCTCAATAAAATACATCTTCAGATGAGCTGGGACCTTCTTCGGACCTTCGACAGAAATTGCAGCCACCATCAATGGTAATTGATGTGGGATGTTAGTCTGAACAAGTCAACCATACAACTGAAACATGAACAAACCAACCAGAGGACTCTTTGTAAAATTAACCTTAAATGACCTTTTGCTTGGGTTTAGCTGCACTGCAGCCCCTCCAGCAGAAGTACTTGGCAGACCCATTTAATCTCCCTCCATAGGATTCACATCACCACCACTGAACGAGGACCTCCCAGATCTAAAGGTAGATGTCGGCACGGGCGTTGGTGAGACCGTAGCCCTAAATGCAACTAACAGTTGCCCGAAAATTCTGGTATATTTTGCAAACAGAATTCAAAACTGGCTCAACTTCATTCTCTAATGTCAGCCTGACGTTCCTAAGCTAGTCGAATATAATCCTACTGCAAATAAAGTCATTTTCCTCATTATTAGTCGTGAGGAAGTGAAGAACGAAGACATCCACGAATGAAGAAAGGCAAACTTTTAGTCGAGAATATATGAAGAACACGTCCACAAGCACATGACTTTTAGTTTACCAATTGAAACCATTGGAGCCTTTCCTTCTAATATTGATTAATAAAGGATCACTGTGATATTTGAGTATTAGAAGCAAAAAGTATGTAATTTAGGACAGAGATCACAAAAAAACACTGCACCTTCATTTCAAAAATTGAACAAGGAAAATGATCACCAAAACAATCAACAACAATTAGCAGGATGATTAAACTTCAAGAAAATTGCATAGTATTTAATAACTAAACCCCTATATTATTTGTTATGAGTGCAATGTCTAGCATTAAAACGAAGAGACTGCTTTGTTCAGCCAAAGTTTCCAGGTACAACATTTTAAAAACTGTCTATCTATGTTAGGAGATGGTGCAGCCCAAATATCAATAAAAAACTAAGTTTTTCTCTCTGTTAGCCTATGTGAATCCTTTCCTACCACTCCGTTTAATTGATTTAGGAAGATCTAAAGCATCTATAAAAGAAATTACTTGTGAAGTCCTTTGGTTTCTTACTTCAGTTTTGACAAGATTGTAGAAAAATAGTGGTTCTGAATAATGTATGTGCTTTATTAATGACTCGGAAACTTTTAGATACCCACTAAACAAGTTTCCATCTAAAAGAAAATTTTAAAATCCAACATCTAGGAGTATGTAATACTCTGACAAAGCTTAAAACGAGTTTTAATTTTGTGCTAAAATTGTTGCTTCAAAAAAGAAAAGTATGCAATAAGAGAGTGATAAATCAGAGTACAATATCCTATTCAATTCCAACAACATACCTCTATTTTCTTTCTTATATTTTAGATAATGTGTAAATATAAATGGATTCACTTCCAAGAACCTAAAACCCACAAAAAACCAAACCCAACAACACATTCTCATTATTATAAACAATAATCAAAATGGATGTTTTGACAAGATAATATAAAAAAAAAAATGAAGGTTTGAAATTTAGTTAGTATTACCATTGGGGCTTGTCACTGAAGTTGATAAGATGCGTCTTATAAGGGACTTTCTTTTCTTCCAAAGTCGGTTGCACCCTTTGGTAGAATGGATCTTAACTGTTGGGAATATATAGCATAATTACAGACACAATGCACAGCAATAATATAGTTCTAAAGCTCATAAACCAAAGACAGAAGTCAATACCCAATCTGAACTTATACATAACAGAAACCAGAGTTCATCAGGTTTATAAAACTAGCATTAACAGATATGTAATCAACATAGAGTTACAATATCATTTACAGACTGTATCCCAATGTATAATCAACAGAATCACAGCCATTACACAGCAATGCAGGCATTTACAGGATATATTAGAAATAGGCAGAATATATACAACTCATCGAAACTGAAATCAGAACTTATAGAAACTGCAGGAATGGACAGAATACTTAAAACTTAAATAAGGAAGACAGAAACTTCCCTTTACAACAGTGCAGTTTTCTCTCTTCTACTGGCCGAAAATCTTTAGGCTCAGGAACAGCCTTCCACGCCACGCAATCGTCGTTCAGAGAGAGATCAAGAACCAACCAAACGTCCTTCAACCTTGGCTTGGGTCATCGACCAAACAGTCTACCAAATCAGCCAAGGAGAACGCCCAAAATCTGACCCAAAACCATAGAGAAAGATACCCCCCTTAGCCACTATTTTAGGCCTAAGATTACACCGGAGTTTCTTCAGTTTGTAGGCTAAAATGGTCGATTTTACAGGGCCAAGAACGGGAAGAAGACAAAAAGCAGACTAGAGATCGAGAGTAAAAAAAGGGTTGAGTCTCAAGGAA